TCATTGAATGGAATCATGCAAACTTGAGACCGATCGCGTGCGGCATGTGGTACGTTTCATTAGGGAAGAAAGGAGAGCAGACGCTTTCAAAAGAGAAAATCGATCGATGATCAAAAATGATCGTACACGCGATAGTATGCAGGATCTCCCAGCGCGATGGGAGCATGAGGTAATGGAGCCTGGAAGAATTTCTGGAGTCGGAGTGGTCCGGGGTATTCTTCGGAATATGATCCACCGAGTTACGCTCGCTCTGACTCCCCGAAGCGCTCAGAGCTTCCGATCAAAGGCCATCGCCTGACATATCTCTCCCCGAATCAGGCATCTCGGGGGCTAGGATCAGTGCCGGGATGAAAATTTCGTTCTTATTCTAGTCGGGGAGCTCGATTGGGCGGGGGGGTCTTCGCTCATTATCGAGGATTCTTCGCAACACACGAAATGAGAGATGCGAGACGATCATGAAGAAGAGCCCTCGTCAGAATGTTCCCCCGGGCCTGGAACTCTCCAAGGCCCTGCCAGTCGAGCAAATTCGCCTCAAACGATCCCTTCTGCTCGGGCGGACGTAGCTCAACGGCGAGGATGCTCAATCAGACACTGGTCTCACTTCTTGAGGAAAAAAAGACGTCCCTTGGAATAATTCCGACATAGTACTCCCAGATCAGACGAGTCTCTGGCAAAAGTCCCTCGGAGTACCTGTGGAATTCTTCCCTGACCAGCGTTGACAATCGATAGGGGCACGTACCGAACGGTCAGCCGGCTCCAAGATTCCAGATCTCGGAGCGGCGTTCAAGCTCTACCGTCTCTTCGATGAGCGGGCGTGGAATGGTCCCGATCGGGCTCAGGGTCTCCGCGCCCGAAATGCCGGGTGCAGAAGATGGCTCGAGTGTCGATACGAAGGGAAAACTGATCGGATGGACGAGCTGCCGCCTGCAAATGAGCTGAAAGTCCTGCTCCTGGAGGCGCACGCGACTGAGACCCAGACTTGGATCACGGTTTCCGGAACCTTTTTTTAGCTATCCAAAGCGGCCGCGATGCTTCTCTCCTATATTTTATCTCGAATCTTCGGTGGATGAAGACCGGTAGCGGACCGATGGCCAGAATTCTCGCCCATGTAGAGTGCTACGATGGAATCTGCGCGAGGATAAAAATTTAATCAAACCTAACTTTTTATTGTATTCAGAGAGCGAGAGGTAAGAAAATTTTCTTCTCAGGGTAGGGGATCCGTATTTTTCGAGCGGTCCCGTTCCCCCTTATTTGCGTATAATGCGTAAGTTCAAGTAGGTTCTCCGAAGCAACACCAGCCACGCTTTACATTCGTCGGGTAATAGTGGAATAGTCGAAGCTTATCGGTTTCGGTCAGACCGAGGAAAAGAGCGATAAGCGACAGCGATGGGGAATGGAAATTCATATTGAATGGCTATTTCGATGCCGAAGGAAACAGACGAAATGAAAACTAGACTTCTGGCCGCAATCGAAAGGCGGGTCTCCCAATCCGAAATGAGCTGATTACGACTCCGGTGGAATGGGGAGGATTCCTTACGGAGAAAAATCGTCAGAAAAAAACGTTCAGATCTCTTTTTCTGAGCCAATCCCGAGCTCGGCGACCGTATTTCGCTTCCTGATCGGCTGTGGACGATGATTGGTCAGTATTCAAAAGATTCTCAAGCACATTTCTGCTCCGCCGTGTACAGAGCTCGGCGGTCATCTTCCGCGCGGTGGAGCTTCTCGACGATTTTATTGTCGGCGACACCACTGAACCATGGCATTCCGCTAACTAGAGGGAGCGAAAACAACATGTCGACAGGCTGAACAGGGTAGCAACGACCGATAACGTTCGGAGCTGGTAAGCGGATAACCCTTGCGGTCGTGGCAGTTCCCACAGCCGTCGTCCGTCGTCTCTCCATGAGGGTTCACGAAGGAAGGACGGGGATTCCTCGGAGGTGGGGGATCTCAAGAACAAGGCAGACTCCATGCTTCTCTGGCATTACCTGATTCAGGTTCCGCTTCGGATCCTGCGCGTAGCAACCGGGTTGCTTGGAAGCATCGAGCACATTCCAGGGAACACGATTCCGCGGCAGATGTTGAGAGTCATTTTCGGGGAAAGAGGAAGTGGATAATCAGTTTCCTAATTCTAATCGTCCCGAGCGCTGGATTATCTCGACGAGCCCGTCGACGTAAACAATAGATTGTTGTTCATCCAGGTCTTCCATCGAAGCGACCAGAAAATAGCTGCCAGTTGAGCAGTCGACTGACCGTCCCCCAACATTGCCGGCAGAACAGCTCCGTGTTGCGAGCGGACGAGCTATCGATGCAGTCAACGTTCCAACGGATTTGTTCCAAATTTTTGCTCTTCAAAAAAGTTCCGCTGGTGGCAGAGACGGAACCCAGAAGAGAAAAACACGGGGAAAAGACGAAGAGGGGATCTTTGAGCGCTGCCGTTTTTCCTGCTGAAAATCGAACGCTGTCGATCACTCCACCCTAATCTACTTCTTCTGAATGCTCAGAAATAATAATTAGAGCCAACAATTCTCGACGTGGACACGGGCCGTTATCGCCACTACTTCGGTTGACGGGCACCGTGTCCACGATAACCTGAACAATGATTCATTGCGACCTGTCAGAGCGCTCAGGCTGAGGTCGATGAAACGGAGGGCGTCAGTATTTTGTCCATGAAAACCCGATCCGTGGGAGCGGCGGCGATTCGACATCGATCGGGCTAACGCCGAAACTTCGCTGGAAATCAATCGACACTGTCTCATCGGAGCTATCATAACTCGAACGGTGACCCCGTTACTCCACACTGAGCACGCTTCCACTCCGGAGAGCGGAGGGAGTCTCCACGGAGCCGTAATCTCCTGATCAGGTCCCGGTGGTGTGATATGGGATCCTACCAAAATCGGCCGGTTCCTAAATGGCTATGTGACTCATCTCATTGCAGTTTCCTGACGAAGCTAATGCTCCGCCTCTTCCGTTGTCTGGGTATGCTTTGCGAATGTACATTCATGTACAGTGCCCATAGCGAGGCCGGGACGGGATCGCTTCCCTCATTTTGCTACTTCCACGAAAGATGGAGGGACCTACAGACCCCGAATGGCTAAGAATCCTTGTTGACCGTCGAAGATGGCTCAAGTGGAGGTCTACGGCACATTCGATGGCTACTCCAGTGCGAAGGTGTCGGCCCCCGCGCGTTGGCGGGGTTTACACAATTTTCGTCGACCGCATCGTACCCCATGCTCGTAAGCCTGCACCGGCTCCGTTTAGGTCCGACGGCACCGCATACGACCAGTGCACAATAAGACGGTCCTCGACGATGCTCACAGCGCCTTCAGAAGATGGTTCGATCTGGCGAGGATCCCATTCAAGGGATTTCGTGGAACTCAAGTTCATAGTGAAGAGCAATTCGGACTCTCAAGAAATTCTAGAACCCTGCAGCCCGAGTCTTTTCGACTCCCATGTAATTGAGTCTTCCGGTATAAACAGCACCGGATTTCGCGGCAACGTCAAAAAAAGCCGGGAGAAAAATGGAAGTGTCACGTCTCTGGATGATTGAGGTTCCATTGTCATCGAGGTGTCGTGATCAGAGGAGTGGCATGAGTTCAGAATCTTCCCTCGGGCGCGAAGCCGAAAGAATAAATTAACAACCCGCTCCCATTCCGGTGAAGGTTCCAACAAACTTCTGCTCGTCAAGAGAAAATGTGAAGTATCATTTTGTGCTGATATGCCCGATAGCAACTCCTAATACTAGTCGTTTAGCAGAGGACCGGAGATGACCGGTTGGCCGCAAAACGAATCGGCGCTCCAAGCCTGATGGTAAGTGTGACTGCCCCAACCGATTGTTGCCGAGCGAAGATAATACACGTGATATGTATTCCTCGAATAACGATCTCGCTAATCACCGGAGTTCGAGATCAGTATGAACTGCCTGTCGGATGATCAGAGCCAGACTATAACGTGGATGAATTTTGGGGAATGGATATCCGTCGCGTCGGAGCATTCGTCGGGATGATGGCTGACTTATCCGTCAGAATGTGTTCGCTAGGACCTCTCCATCACTTCGGCAACCTAGATGGGATTGGAATTTCCCCGTCAACTGGTGAGAAAGACCGATGTGCCGTTTGTCAACACTCATCTGATCATAACAACACGATAGGGACTCCCAATCGGCACGGAGAATCGCAGTCCCCACGTTCAGCATGGGAACATTATCGTGTACGTGCGTCGACACGTACATCACGTTCGTGTGTCAACCGGAATGGCGTCAAGGGTGTTATACTCCGCTCGATGAAGTTACCGATGTTCGATGAAGTTACCAGGAAGATTCTCCTGCATCATGCCTCGAGTTCATGATGACTCGTTCATCAACTATGGGACGTAGTATCTAGCCGGTAGTATGCGGGGAACGGACCGTAGGCCGCCTCGTACATTCATTATATGATGACGACAGTTATATCTTCCTCGGGAGCTCAAGCCTCATTTGCGCGGGATTTCTCGGGTTATATCCCGCCAGATCCGGCTTCGATGTGAGCGATGAGGGAGTCCATCGAGAGAAAGAACGCAAGCATGAAACCATGATGGGACGCAGAATGAGGTCTCATTAAAAAGGTCTCTCTCTAACTGATAACGGATCAAAAGTTTATGAGCTGTGACAAGAAGCGCTCGGGCTTGAACATTGATCACGAGCTAAGGAAGGTGAGCGAGCAAATGATAATTAAAACCCACTACGACCGAATCGGTGAGCATGGTGCGATATCAGACCTCCTGTAAGATTCGCACCCATCGGGAGGAAATCGGGCGGTCCCCTCCATACCTCGCTGAACGGATCGGAACATGTATGGGCTGTCAGAATCGTCTATGTGAGCCCGCGCATGAGCCCCCCTCCCCATTTCGGAAGCTATCGGTGAATCTGGAATTTACAGCGTGTCATCGGCGCTGGCTCAATCATCATCGAGGATTTCCCCCTTATGTTGGCTTCTCGCGTTCCAATCCTGGGTCCTTCATTTCAGAAAATAATACTCTCTTTATTCACGATTTCGATTTTCCCCCGAGAACACTCGATTGATCATGCAGCATCATCATGTTATCATAAACTTCGAATGGGACAGTCTGCACCATTTGTTCTCGCTACGGTAAAATATGTGTATGCATGGTAGTCTTTCACGTGATCTGTCTCTCCCGTGCTTATAGTTATTGCCACGTGAATCACTGCTCGTTTTCTGAAACTTCATGTAAGTATAAATGGCGGATCACATCCTCACGTCTCCGTCGATATGAACCCCCGCCAACAACTGATCTATGATAGCACTGTATAATATAAGGACGAGTAGATGATGAGGGAGGTGGATGTGCTCTGAACATGGATGACTGACACCCGCGCTTAGGCTTCCGCATTCTGATCCTCTGCCACATAATAAATTCTCATCATGAAACAATTCTCGCCATCGCAAAAACCATGAAACAACATAGTTGAGTTGGGTTCGGTTCCCCCGGTACATTCATCGACATACGGGTATTCATGTATCGCTATCTCCTGACTTCACTCGGATGCTCCATGATAACTATGCATCTCAACCTGAACAAACTCGCATATTCGGCGTCACGTCTCGACGCTCCCGATTTCAAGACACTGATTCACAGTGTTCCGGCTAACTTTTTTTTTCAGAGTCGAACAATTGACTAAATCGGCTTGTTGTCGAGAATTCGGTTCGCTTTCTGCTCACACTTTTGGCAACTCTGTCGCAACTGTCCCGCTATCCTCGTCTGCTGGACGAGCCCCTGCGGAATTGGTGTGTGAGCATATCGAAAAGTATTGTACATCAACAAGTCAATTGAAGGCACGATCGACCGCCCAACCAACCAAGTAACGCTTGGCAACACTTGAGATTTCGTAGGCCTATAATCAGTCCATCAACTCCAGACATTTACTCCGAATTCTGTAATCTTAATCTGACAATCCCGGACTCCGTGACAGTCACACCATGACATCCTCCATACGATACAGCTTGTCCTCCGTTCGATTATGCGTGCAAGCGAGCTCCCTCGAGAGATTCACTTGCATCGACAATGGCAGAACTTCAAGTGAAGCCACATGGCATTTACGAGTGCTTCAAGTGTATAACCCTTATCGGCTGAAAACCGGCGATAAGCGAGAGACCGCCGCTGAGACGCCCACCCCTGTATCTCATTTCCTCCTCTTCTAATTAACCGCGCGATCAGAATCGTCGACTCTTTCGGCTCGCCTCAATATCATGTTCCTCGAATTTTTCCTGACGGCCTCCGGAGAAATCGGTGTCGTTGATTGTTCATTCTGTTTTGTTTTTTGCAATTTTTATTCTATCGATCTAGACTCATCTCAACGTGGGAACAGTTCGCGAAGCTAAGCATTTACCATAGTCGACCAGAGCTAGAGAGGGAGCTATGCGATGACAGGGGCTTCTGAATTCCGATGAAATGCAGCAGAGCAGTACGGACACATCTCGAATTCAATAATTTCTATCGTCGCCTGGTGGGGTAGTTTAGCGATGCCTTCAAGTTCCCGTATCTCTACTCTGATCTCACTCAGTCAGAAGCAGCGTCAAACTCAGAGATGGAATCGGCTCGCTGCTGCTGTTGCTGGAGACTTTTATTAGGGTGTTTGTATCGATGTGCCGAAAGCGATGAAGCAGAGGGTCCTTTGTTTACAATAGGGCACAACGTTTCCTCTTTCTAGGTTTGACTTGGAGAGCTGCTCGTGTCGCCAGTTCGAATACTTCCCTCACGCCCTCTTTGGTCCTGGCAGAACACTCGAGATAACCATAGGCATTGATTTTCTCAGCCATGGCGAGACCTTCTTCTCCTCTGACAGGCTCCTGCTTCATTTTGGCCAACTCTTTGATTGTTCCGCTATCGCTGCGGAGATCTTTCTTATTGGCAACCAAGACTATCGGGACACTGGGACAGAAGTGTTTCACCTCCGGATGCCATTTCTCGTTGATGTTCTCGAGTGAATCGGGTGAATCGATCGAGAAGCACATCAAGATGACGTCGGTGTCAGGATACGAAAGAGGACGGAGTCGGTCGTAGTCTTCCTGTCCGGCCGTATCCCACAGCGCGAGTTCAACTTGTTTTCCATCGACCTCGATGTCGGCAACGTAGTTCTCGAAGACCGTAGGCACATAAACTTCAGGGAACTGGTCCTTACTGAACACGATCAGCAGACAGGTTTTCCCACAGGCACCGTCACCGACGATGACAAGCTTTTTGCGAATCGCTGACATACTTCACAATGTCGTCGACAAGCACCGCCGAATCACGGTCGCCGTCGATTTCAAACTCGCACGCACGCACTCACACCCTACCACGTACGGCACTCGGGGGAACCGACGTGAATCGGAAACGGACTTCTGGCGACCAACAGATCGATCAAACAACTGTTGCAGGTACTGACTCTAAAATTACTTCTATCACCACCGCTGTTGCTGCTGTTGTTGCAGGCGGCGACAGTTCCGCCGCTGCTGTTGTGATGATCACTACCGCTGCTGTCGCGGCGGCCGCCGACGAGCCAAGTCGATGGCGTTGGAAAACACGAACAACTCGCCTCCGATTCACGTGAGAAACGCCGAGCGAGCCTTAGTCGACAAGTCCCGAACTCCGGCAAAACAGGAGGAACTTCTCTGCAGCTCGAATCGTATCCTAATCCAGAAACTTTCCGGACCAAGCGTTCGATTGTGGCCTCAGTCGTCCGCGCCTGTCTAGGGAAACGTTCCCTAGATCCGATTCATCTAGGAACTCTCAGACTTCCGTTTTTGCGATCGACAGATTTCCTTCATGCTGCAAGCCCCGGACTCCGATGAATCTCTCGGGATTGCGAATCAGGACTCCTCGTTGATCCCCCGTCCGAACCTAATCGAGGGATCGGGGAACGTGCCCGTCTCTGTCAAAATCCCTAGATTCGGCGGTGGAATCTCCCTAGCTGTATCCGGCGGCGCAACAGGGTGGTGTGCGCCGGTATGTAGATGGTGAACACGATCGCTCACGGGGAAAAGCCGTACTCTCAGCTTCGGATTGAGCTTGCATTTGCCTTATCGCTGCATTCGCTCGACTTTTTTTCGTTGCATCGACTGCGGGGCCATTCGTAGACTTATCTCAAGGGCGACTCGCGGTCTAGCCAGTTTGGAGTGCCGGCTTCCCGGCACCATGCGGCTGTGTATGTAGCCGACAGGCAGCCGTTCCTAGACACGGACAGTGAGATTCAATGCCCAGGCGGTGAATCATCGGCAGCACCAGCTGAAAGTGTCGGCGGCTGATGGCTACTTCTGTTTTGATGCCCCTCTTCTGTTCTAAATTTGGGATATACGTGTCTCCCAGAAATTCTACAGCATTATGTCAGACTTGATGTTTCGGTATTGCCCTGGGAGCGGGCGGTCCGAGATGATAGCCAGCTTACGATTGAACTGGGTCTCGGATAATCGAATGGTACAATTCATATGTCTGACCTGAGTAATGGGAGCATTTCTCGAGAAATCGAACCCGTGCGCGGTGCTCATATCGATCAGAGAACTCGAATCCGAAAATACTCGACGGAGACCTGGTCGATTGTACATAAGTACATGAAGACGGAAAAATCGTTGAGACGGTAGCTTACGGAGGTCGAATTAAATAATATTGACCGTAGGAAGTTGTGGATACCATGATCATTGATGGCCGGTCATCGGAGTCTGAGCCTCGACTCTCGGTGTGTAGTCGAGACCGCATCATTTTCTTTGAGTCATTCTGAGGGGTCCATGCTCGCTATCACTCATTCGTGACCGGTCTTCGTTTGCCATAAACTTCGCCGAGTCACTGCGCAGAGTTTCCGAAAAAGGTATGACGTTTTGATGTTTCTAGCCTTCGGAAGATAATGCGAGACGGTGGTGATGCTTTTATGGGGTATTGTGGGACGATCGACTGGAAGCGCCATGAGAAAGAGTCGCCTGGTGTCTTACGGCTCCCGTTCGGAGACCGTTCGAGGGAAATCCGTTTCCGAGTGCGAGGAATTCCCGAAAATTCGATCTCAGATCCAGACCAGACACCCAAGCGTGCCTGCAGGCTTCGGATGCAATCTTCAATAATACGGGACCATCATAAATCGTAACGCCGTTGCATTGCGGCTCAGAGGGGGAGCGTTTCATCCTTTCTCAGGAGGAGTGTCCCTCAATGTTCAGAATATCTGTCCAGATCTTCATGTCCAGACCCTCTCACATCCTTCCACGTATAACCGATCTAAAAAGAAGATCGTACACCGAAATATGCGCTCAGCGAGAATCGTAAATTGGAGACGTTGTACGCGTTCGCGTTTTCGTTATTAACTGAGCGGATAAAAACTGAAAACCCAACCAGGGGTCCGATCGTAACGCGTTGGAACTGGCATCTTTTTTGTTCGGCATGCGTCGATCGTGGTCCAAAGTCGAGAATTTTAAAGCGTTGTGAGCCGACCGTAACACGGATAAGCAAGGTACGGCGATCTATCCGGAACTTTGTCCTAGAATTGTCGAGTCGTGGCAGTGATGCCGATCCGCATCGGAGGTGACCCGCGCGCCGGGGAATAGGATGTTTTTCTGGGCGCAAGTCGGCATGGAGCCCGTTGCCTTACGACGCGACGCTCATTTATTGAATTCGTCAGACCCCTGTCACGAGTCTGCCTCATTAACACCACATTACCGACGGCCGTGCCGCCGTAGGAAGCATCCTCCCGTCGGCTCTTCGGGACCAGAAAACCGGATTCCTTACCTGGAGCATATGCAGAGACTTGAGCGCAATGTGCAACCTTGCCCTGAATACTTGGGACAATGACCGCCTTCCCTCGATGCAAGCTTCGGGATCCTCACTCGAAACCGAATAGCCCCCATTTGAGGATTTCAGCTCGCGGCGTTCCTCAACCTCGATTCCTGTGTTTCTATTGTACATACTGCGGTTCGTGGAAGACTGTCATCTGGGCCGTGATCAATAAGTGCATGTTCCTCGATAGCGGAAGCCGAGCCGGGTCAGTGTCCCGGAACGAACCGGGTGAGCTACGAGGTGGGCTTGATAAAAAACTCGGTCGTCCCTCTCGCTATAGAGGCGGTGGCACGGAGTCTCGGTCACGTCCTGCGTGCTTTATTCACATCCAGACGAGCGACCGACGTAGTCTCCCCTGATGTTTCCGCCTAGAAATCTGCTCGCCACAGATCTTTGACGCTCTGATCATTATGATTTTTTATAAATTATTTCTACGGGAAATTGACTTCTGACTAATTGAGGGATCGCTGAGATGATTGAAAACCTCGGGTTATCTAGGATCTCTGGAATCAGCTGCTCCCACGATGTTTCAAGTTTTGAAGATGCCTCCGCTAATATCCCACCGGAAGAAGCATCGTAAGCTCGCGTTGTCAGAGCCTCGGTAGAGTCGGTGGGATCTGGAAGACGTCGGGAGAGAATATCGTTCATCAGCCTGCGTCTTTAATTACAAGCACACGATGGGGACGCGCCAGCCGACGCGATTCGACATCCGCCTGGTCACGGAGATTCTGTCGCCTTGTTCAGGAAGGCCGAACGAAGGTCCACACGAGAAGCAAGTCAGATTCTGGACGAATCTTCGCTGACGCGTATGTTTTCGGTGACCTCGGATACTTGGTGGATACGGAGCACGAAGCAGCCGAGGGCCGTGGTCAGTATTTCTCTGACTAGGGAATAACCCTCGACAGTCGAAAAAATTCCTAGCAAGGAACAGGAATGTGACGGCGTCGGGACCACAACAAATCTCTCACAATGATTGTTTGGCAGTATCTACATCCTCAATATTGACGACAAAAGCTGAATCTGGGAGATGGACGGTGGACATGACCGTATAATTCAAGCTTTCTCCGTATAACCCTAATAATTGGAGGGGTTCCGACTCGAGGATTGGAATAGAGCCTCGGATGACGATACGCGATGCGAAACCGTGAGAGCGAGTCGTTGATGTAAGGGAATCTAAAACAATTCGGGTGAAAATTGAGCTGAAATCAGTGCTACCACTCGATCGTATCCTGGATGAGCTTTGAGCGATTTGGGGCTGCAAAGCGTAATTTCTCCGAACGACGGCTGAGGGACCGGTTGACCTCCGTCATGAAGTCCGCAGCCCTGCATCGTCTATTTATAAGGCCGCCCAGTGTCCCGATTCCAGGTTTGCCTCGTGTGGGTCCTGCTGCGGTTAGTTCGGGCAGGCAGGCGACCCCTCCGTTCCAAACAAATCACAAAGCTACCGAATCTTGTGAGCGAGGAGCCAAGTTCTTTCACCTTGTCGAATATTCGCGCACTTGGAGCAAACTTCCGCGGGGACTCTGCAGAGAGCTCGGATGAGGCGGGGGAGTGAGCCTTTAAGGGGCAGTTCTCTCAACGATAAGCTTCGAAACGGATAGTGCAATGAGACCTGAGTCGTCGTCGGTACAGTGACGGGGATTTTGTGGCCCGGTCTGCGAGAGACGACTCGGGAACCGCGCGAGAAAGAACTCAAATACTCGACTCATCGTGCCCCGGCATTTTTCCGGGGGCTGCGGCATGAAAAACTCAAATTTCGCAATGCGCAAGGAGTGGTCAGTAAGGCCGAGATCCAGATGCGGAATGAAAGGCGGGACATACGACAAATATTCATTCATGCAGGGCATTTTCTCTTGTGACGGAGCATCCGGAGGGGACAAGCTCGCGATGGAAAGGGCCAAGGAGGCATTTGGGAGCTCAGAAAAATAAACAATCGAATGCTATGTATAAGAAGTCATTCGTGCATTGGTGGGAAACATGCGACACGATGAAAGATGTGCTCCTACATGTGGCTTCGAGCCCTCATCATCAGCCTCGTAGGACAGCAAGCAGCACACAGCTCACTGCTTGGACTTGGGGCAGCCGCGATAATGATTATTCTGATGATTATATCGTCTCGATATTTTTCCCGTCCTCTTGCAATTCGTCGAGGGATCGCCGCAACTCCTGTGATCTCGGGAGCTCAATCCGCGACTCCGCCATCCTGAACCGAAAAAATCATTCTTGGCGCCCTATCGTGCGTTCGAGATTGCATCTTCCCTTGTCCCGACATGATGAAGCCAGTCTCCGAGAGATGACATGACCACTAGAATTTATTTACAAAGCGACTTAAAGATTTACACGAACACCGTTGGACTTCGTATCTGAACCATTCTCATTGTCCTAATTGTATTCCTAGATCGACAAACTATAGTACACAAGAGATTATCGTTCTCCCATGGAACATATACTTTCTTCGAACCGCGTCTATCCGCTTCCGCGGCCTGAGTTTGCACAGATTCATGCCAACGACTAAACGGGAATACGATCGATGCCGGGAAGAGGCCGGAGACATTCTCTACGAAGTCATGAACATATAATAGTTCCATAAATAATAATTGTATCATGTACACTCGTATGTACATTGTCGACCTCAATCTCCCGACCGAACTGGAAACTCAATGGTCGTTCTCAATCCGCTTCCTAGCAGCAGTAGATTCTCCAATTAGTCCAAGCTCCATGGATGCTCCTTTCTCTCTCGTTCCTGATCCGAAATTTCTGCCTTCGAATTTTCCGGATGTCGGAAGTCTATTGAATTGTGGCCGCAGGCGGTGGCGCTGATTTGGTTCCTCCGAGCATTTCATCAAGGTTCTGAATGGCTAGCGGGTTTCGTTTCACCTCGGTGGAGTTGTCGGATGCAGAACCTTGAGAGTTTTCTGGAGACGATCGAGAGAAAAAGAAACGGTGAGATCTTCCGACTGGTGGTTGTGGGATATTGATGAAAAATCAAAAACATAATTTTTACTTTCTGGAAATGGAACGTCCATCAAATGCATCAAATGAGCGTACCGTTGCTCGAAGGCGCGCCCTCGTCAGCATCGAGATCAACCTGTTCGTCTTTGCTTGAGGATCGGTTAGGGCGAGTGTTGGACATCTTCACTGGACTAACGGTGATTTCTCCGCTGAGCGAACCCAGGTCGAACGCTTCCTCGTCCTCGGTCGAGTTCGCTTCGCCTCTGTCTCGACACGAATCCGAGTCACCTTCGTACACACTGGCCGACTCACCATTTAGCAACTGCACCTTAGCCATTTCCTTGTCAATCTTCTTACGCTGGGTGATCTTTATGCGAGCCTTGCGTTCCGCTTTCACCTCGGTGACGACTTGCAGCTGGAGATTTTTGTTGGCGGCCATTTTGCCCAGAATGTCCTCCTCTTCTTGTTTCGTAGACTTGTAATCCTTCGTGAGCATGTCGTATAGACCTTTGTTCTTCGAGATCGTTTCGGATTCGATTGTGATCACCTTTGGTTTTGGTTTCAAGTCGTCGAAGTCGTTCGACAGCTCGTCGTCGTCTTCGTCATCGAGGTTGATTACTTCAGGCTTTTTGATCTCCGCTGCCGGCCGGAATGGACTGGGCCGAGCCATGCACAATTGGTCCAGAGTTTGAGGAAGCCGCATTGCAATCACCCGTTCACACGGCAGTCTCAGGTAGACGCCTCGCGGGGTTTTCATGACGAACAGTTCGCAGCCGGCTTGCAGCTGTATGGGGGGCTCTTTGGCGAGTCCGATTGTTATGCTTTTTGGGATCCGCATCTTCTGCACAGTCATACCTTGCTTGATGAGGCTGTGGATGAGCGCCGTGCCGACGTTCGATTGCATACCTGTGAACGACGCCGGGAACGCTTGGCCGGTTTTGGGGTCTCTGATCATGTCGAACCTCGACTTTTGGCTCCCGTAAGCTCCCCTACCGTTCATGGTTGTGATACCGGAACCGTAGGTTCCTCTACCACCGAGTTGCGCTGCGCGTTTCTCTTGCTCGTATGAGGCTTTAGCCAATTTTTTCTCGTATTTCGTTAGCTTCTGATCTTTCTGATCGAGTAGAAGCGATTCGTGCTCGAAAGGCAGTTTCGTGAAAGCTCTCGACGCCACCGACACGACCTGTCGCATGATGGGATCTCTGAACTTTTCGTGGCTATCTGAAAAGTCCTCTTCTGGCGGATCACATTCGTCTTCTTGTATCAGCGTCGATACGTCTTTCCACGTCAGTTTAGCTTCGGGATTCATTTCATCAACAACCCTGTCCGACATTCCCTGTTTGTTCACCTGGAAGGATGGACGTCTGGTCATGCTTTGCGGCCTAATGGTTTCCATGGTACACGTAAGTCAGTCGATCTGGGCCGGAGGAGTTCTCTGGCAATACAGGGGAGTCTCCCTCATTTTGCTCTCATCACCTCACCTGTCGGTCATAAATTCTTTTCTCCAGCGAGTTATCACAGACGAAGCGATATATGTAGCACGGCTTTTGCTGACCATAGCGGTATACCCGGCATACAGCTTGCGCATCGTGGCAAGGATTCCACGAGGCGTCAAGAACCACAATTCTATTTGCGCCAATTAAATTAATTCCTAAGCAGCCTGCCCTCGTCGACAAGAGGAACAAGGCCACGCATGGATTGTGATTGAAGTCATTGATGAGTTTCTCACGTTCTTGGCCTGATGTGCCGCCGTCCAAGCCTGAGAGATTGATGTCCGTTAGACCTCTCTCGGGGAGCTCCGATCGGGAAAGAGAGAGAATTTCCGACAACAAATTGAGGGCATCGATCCCGTCGCTTGGCTCTCGAGTGAGAAATGAAAACTTACGGAAATAGGTCCTGTTCTTGACCCATTTATCAGTGTAGTTCAAACCGGGTCTGGGTGGGAGATCTCTCATCTGGAGGAATCTTTCGACGAGGTCCAACGTGAGCAACGATTGGCTGAAAACCAGCAGTTTGTCCCCTTCCCGAAGCGAGGAATCGAGTACCTCCATCAGGAGAACCATCTTATAACTGTTGGTTATGTCGTCGGCTTTGTAGTCAGCCATCAACTCGTACGCCTGTGGGTCAACGAAGAGAGCCGATAAGACCCGTACCGCATCCCAGCGGTCCTGAGAGGAGAGAAAATATTGCGGTCGTTCGTGTCACTCTTACCCATTCGTAGGAAATCTTGTTGAGCTCGTCCTCGTTCACAGGCTTGGGAAATTGTTCGGGGGTTGGAGTTGCGGCGTCTTTCTTCTTCCCTCGTTTCCTCTTTTTCTTCGAAGGGTCTTCTTCGCCGTCGGGGTCTCCTCCCTCGCCGAGCTCGTCTCTCTTCCGAGATCCTAAGCCGTTCAATCCGGACTCTCCGACCTCGGCAGCACCATCGTCGATGTCGAGGTCCATCACGGCAGTAGGAGGGAGACCTTTCTTGTCCCTGACTAGATTGTACAAAATATCGGGATGGTTCCAGATCTTACAGCAGACCGCAAAGATTTTCAGCGGGTTCGCCGATTCGGAGTTCGTGACGAATTCTTTCACCAGAGCCGTGTAGAGAGCTCTCTGGATTGGGGTCATTCGGATGAAAAACACGTGTTCTTCCTTGTGAGGCAGCGCATCCTTGAGAACACCATGACCCCGCCGTTGTACGAAACCCGTCAGAAGCGAATGAAGTACGTGCGCGCGGAACTTCATCAACTGTCGATCTTTCGGCGTCGAGTCGACGCACTGTCCATTTTGAATGGGTCTTTCGAACATGTTGGTGAATTCCATTTTCGTCCCGAGGTAAGACGGTCTCACGAAGTCTACCATGCACCAATACTCTATGAGGTTGTTTTGCAACGGGTATCCGGTAAGGACCACTCGCCGCTTCGTCTTGATATCTTTTAAGGCGGACGACGTTGTCGCATTGCAGTTCTTGATCCGATGGCCTTCATCACAAACCACAAGGTCCGGTCCAGGGTTCACCAAAGCCTCGTACACCTCCTCGAGCAGTTCTCGGTCTTTCCGCATAATTTCTTCGGTGGCTTGCACGGTGGCCTTCTTCCTTCCCTTTGGTTTGTAGACTTTCTTGAGAGCGAGCGTTCTGTACATTTCGTACCCCATCAGCATGACCCCGCCTTTGTCATGCCATTCCCTGACGATCCGATGCCGCGCGGACGCGGTTTTATACGATTCATTCAGGAGAAACACGGGGAAACTCCGGGGTCTGACATGACCCTCGTTTATGAGGGTCACGTACACCTGGTCCTCTTTCGGCAGCCATTTGTCGAACTCGGCTTCGAAGGAAGAAGAAATAGAATATTATTTCCAAAGCTACGGCATGCTCTACACGGAATTATTTGTCCTCTTGAAATGACCAACTGTCAGGATCTTCCGATGGAAGAAAAACTAATTCTCGGACTCGGGAAGCATCGATTGCGTTCTCACTCACCCAGCCAATTTTGGATGGTGTTGATGGGTGTGATGATCAGAACTTTCCTCCCGGTCGTGTGTCGTAGGAACAGATCGGTGAACGTTATGACTTGTATCGTTTTCCCCAAGCCCATGCTGTGCGCCAAAATGCATCCAAAGCCGCTCGACACTTTGAAGCGGGACGCACTCTCAATGACATTCTCGTAGAGGAAGCGAACTCCGTTAATCTGATGGGGCTTTATAATATGGGCGAGTTGAGGGGCAATGAAAATGTCCTCCTCGTCGTCGGGATGGCCGACATTGATCAGAACTCGACCGTTTTCATCACGTATCGGATGCATGCTCGTCGAAAGGTCGATCTCCTCGTCGTCGTCGGAGTCATCACTGACATTTATCACGTCCTTGTCACGGGGCTCGTACTCGTCCCCGGAGGAGATATCGATCACGTCTTTTTTGGTAGCGTTGGTGTTCGCATCATCATCAATGTCTTCTTCATCGGAAGGAATCGCAGCAGCCGGTGAGGGCTCTTCCTGTTTCACAACTGGGGGCAATTCTGCTTGCTCTTGATTTTCAGTTTGCGCCTCGCTTTGGTAGGGAGTCGGCAGAGTTCCTCGGAGTTCCTTCAAGGAGTTGAGCGCCTTCATTCTCTGCTCCTGCAACCTCTTTATCCTCTCCTGTTCCTCTCTCTGGGCGTTTCTGGTGCGTTCATCGAGCGACGCTTCGTCTTTGATATCTTTGATGTTTTTTCGGAGATGCAATTTCGATTTCTTGTCTTCCTCCTCTTCCTCATCGGTCTTCTTGGAATCATCTTTTTCCGCTGATGACGTAGTATTATAGGGATCTTTCGAGTTTTCGCTACTCGCGGCTAAGCCTCCCTGCAAGAACTCGGTGTCAGACAATCGCTCTTGATAAATCTTGAAAAACACGCTTGGGACGGCAATCGGTCGCTGCGGTGGGGCAAAAGCCCAGAACGGGACGGATTAGGGGCAAAAGCGTAAATTAAGGGACTTACTTTGTCATCATCATCGTTCTCGGTTTTGGCACTTTCTAAGGTATTTGTCGATTCTTGAGTGGAATCGTCCTTCTCTGCAGGATCCTCCCTGGAATTTTCTTCTTCCCGAGGGGCTTCAGGAGGTCTATGTTGCTGATACATTCCGTTCATCATGTGAGGGTTAGCCATCAAGCCATTCGTCTGGTAGGGATTCGACATTCTTTTCGAAGGGGAGTCCGACATTGTCATCATGTCGCACCCTGGACGCTTATTGCCTAGTTGATGATTGACGGGCATGTATTGATCGGGCGGGTAGTTCGCCATCTGCTGAGGAGTCACCGGGACACGCTCGTCGAGGGGGAAACCCCCCTGATTAGCGTATGGGTTCAGATAAGGATCCAGAGCGTGAGGTGGCGGAGGGCCCATGGGGTGGGTATAGCTTCCCATATTCATCGGGGAAATGGGAGGCTGATTTCCCATCACCGGTTGAGGCTGTTGGGGCACGGGCCGTTCTGGGAGAGTAGCATCCTTGGCTGCAATGGATGTTTTCGCTTGTCAGACCAGATAGCTTTTCGGAGGGAAAATCGGAGCAGAGAAACCTTTTCGAATCATTCAGAAATACTTTTGGGAATATAGTTTGCCGATCTCCTCACTCGCTTCCGATCGCCACGTACCTTTCCGACTTCTTCGTCGGGGCTTCTTCGCATCGGACGCTGTGGTGGGCGTTCTTTGTGAAGATTGCTGCGCTCCCGGCTGTGCTTCGACGGCCTGTTGAGCTGGGGACAACATTTGGGAGTTGTGGGTACAGGGATATTGCTGTTGACCTACTGTTGAATCACTGTTTCCAGGGTAAGTTTGCGGCGGGGCTTGATGTTGCTGACCGAAGGGTGGCATCATATGGTTTTGGGAGGATGAACAGGCGTTGATTGGCTCGTTTTTCACCGGGCCTCTATTGTAGATCCCAGGATCGCAATACGGAGGTGCATCGTAGTAACCGCCCGATTGTCCAGCCGAAGACGGCGGAAGGAGGGAATTCGAATACCCGACAAATGGTTCGAATTGTGGAGGCTGCGGGTACGAAGTTTGTGGCGACGGAGCTCCATTGTTGAAGTTACTCTGCTGAGGAATGCTGTGGTTGTACTGGGCTGCCGAAGGAGGCATTGACGGCGACGGCTGCGGCGGCAGTTGTTGAGCTTGCTGTTGTGACTGTTGTTGCTGTGGCGGCTGCGCATGCTGATGTTGTTGTTGTTGCTGCTGCGAATGTTGCTGTTGTTGGGGAGGGAGCGACGGTGGGGGATATCCTGGCTCGTAGTAACCAGTGTTCCCGAAAGGACTCAAATATCTTTGGGAACTTGACGAGCTGCTCGAAAGTGAAGATCTGCTATCTTGAGGAAACCACCATGGCTGATCATTGATGACGCCCGAGCTCGATGGCGCTTGCGGCATTTGCGGTGAGTTATAGTATTGGTTCGGGACTTCTTGGACTTGCGATCCGTTCCCCGGAGTTCCCAACGGATGATTCGAGGGCGGGGCATACTGAAGAACAAGCAAACAGGCTGAATTTCGTAACCGAATCGAGATATCATAATCGCGGCGAACGAAACTCGAGAAAATTGATTCTTTCCAGGTAGGGAGGGCCGAACAACAACAACAACGGAGGGACAACCTACCCGCGAGTTCGTCGGTAGAGGCTGTTGATAATTGTAATTGATCTCATTTTGACCGGGATATGGAGCGAAGTCCCCAGGATTGTACCACTGATTCGGCGCTGAATACGACGGCGGGTCCAACGACAGCTGTGATGACGGAGTCGTCCATGGTTGACAATATTGGGACTCCCCCGAACGTGACTGCAGCTGGTCAGGTTTCTGACCAGAAGGCGTCGAATCGAGCATACCTGAAAAAACCGTCACGGGTTGGCCCCAAAGACTGCTCGTCGAGGGACTCGGAAGACAATCGTCTTCGTTTATGAAATGAATGATGATCGGTTTACTCACGCTCGAGGGCAGTCAGTCCCGTCGGCGGCACCGGCGCTTGCTGGCTCAGGGAATTAGAGTAATGACCAGCATTCCGGCCCTCCAACCACGGAGGGGTTGCCATCGAGCTCGGAGCTCACCGGCCCCCGTGCGCGTTGGGAAGCGACACCATGCGCCAGAACCTAATCTCAGATCCGCTCTCTTTGTTGGCCTTCTGCTTGCTGAAGAAATCTGCAATTCGAGATAGCGTTCAGGGGACCGCAGTCTTCCACGGTGCCCATTCTGAGAGTATACGGGGAGAACGATTTCCCGGAACACAAGGAGAAATCATCTCCCAGGACACAGAGAGACCGGCTGGAAAATTCACCGTCAATCCCTTTACTTGTTCATCGGAGTCAATGAGGCTCCACAGAAGCGTCAAATCGTCACCCAAATCCAAGACGAATACGCGATAGGCGATAACAATGACGAATAAGCCGGTGTGACTTGGCCGCGAAATTCCATCGACACACCGAGGAGGCAAGTCACAAAAGCGTCCGCCGCACTCTCACCAATTGATATACGCGGGATGAGAGTCAAAAAGAGCGCGATCCCTATTCTTCCGTGAGGATTCAGTATAGATACCAAAACAACGGATTTTGTGCGCGCTTCGGAGTATCCTAATATTTCTGGAAAGTTCAGGGTACGACAGCCACGAGGCGTTGAGCGCACAAAGTGACAGAAAACGAACCGCTTCTCGCTCGTTCCCCACGGATAAACAGCCGCACTCAAACGTCCCGGTTCAGCAACTTCGCCTAGCTGGCCTCCGAGTACCCCAGTGTTTCCTCCATCATTCCCGATTCTACGTATACTTCTGATACCGGAGCCCGAGCTCAATTCGACGGGGAAAAAGTCTTCTTCCCGACGGGGGATACAACCGCACGCTCCTCTGACGGGAACGGCGAAGGTCCATACCCGCTGATATGGGATGGAATTCAGCTCCGGATGGGAGCCTCGACGCAGAGATCGGTGATCCTAATCGGCATTCGACACGAATATATCCAAACCAACAACGGGAAACCATTCGCAGTGGCAAAAGAGATCCGATTTTGCGCTTGGCGATCTCCTGACTCCTGACTGAGATACACGGTGTACCACCGAAGCCTCTGCCCCATCTCGGTATTAGCTCGAGGGAACAATAAGGAAACGCTCCGCGACAGCAGAAACAAGCAGGAATCTCAGTATCTTTTGTAATTGATTATCCGATCATCGATATAGTTCTCCGCGAGACTGTTTTCGCGGTGCGTCGGTTCATGGATCTGGCACGGCCTTCGTGTTTGTGTGTGTGTGGACAGTTGTCAGAAGTTCTCTCAAAAGTCAATAACCCTTGACCTCGTGAAGTACTTGTTTTCCGATAGTTCTCGAGTTCCAGTCAGCATACACTTCTAGTTGCTCACCGATGTCGGGGGGGCTCATTATCGAAAGCGCTTTACTATCGGTGAGCGCATCCGAACTCCAGGAATTCGAGAGAGGCCTTCACAGCGACTGCATCCTAATCTAGACCTGTCTCCGAAGCTTCATGCACTCGGTTCGAACTCTGTTGGCGGTGGGTGCGTTTGAGAACTCGATGAATGACCACGCGGTGGTCCACGTCCAAGTTCGAGTTCGAGAGTAACTCTCCAATAATTGCAACTAATAAAATGTCCACAGTCTACCAAGATGGCGTTGTATTTACTAAACACGACCCCGAGCAGACGCATCGCCGAAAGTCAGGGAGCGACGGGGCGCCTTTTTTGAACATCTTGGGCTCTTGGGCATTGTCCTCTACTGCCGGGATGCGGGATATACCCCAATGACCTGTAGTTCTCGCTGTATGAGGAAAACACGAGAGCCGCGAAATATTATCGCAATACTCTACAGCAAGCGAGAAATAGAGTAAACGGCGACTCTGCGTTCAAGGGCTCGCATCGGTGGCGGCAGCATGCAATCACCATCTACATTCGTCATCACAAAGGCGGATGCTTCATGCGGAACCTTCTGGACATGGAATTTTCCATCCGCAGCAGTTGTCGACGTTTTCTTCTCGGAGGTTTCCTCCCCAGAGCGAAATGTTCCATCGCTGGGGATGCACCCCTTCGAGCGTGGCGTCCGATGCTCCGGAAAGTGGGAGCCCCCGGGAAATGGTAGCCTTCGAGAATCGTGATGATGCGATGACTGCTATTATTCTTCAGTCGTACTTGAGGCTTGAATCCTTAATGCGCCAAGCAACTCTCTGCATGAACCGATCGCCACAGGGGCTCATGACAGGGGCTCGACAGTGCTTTCCTTAAGCCGATTTCGACCGCTGATTTGTCAGTCGGTTGCGTCATTTCGTGCACTAACAATAAGAAACATGGGACCGTGCGTGCAGATATACACTGGTATAAGGTCGCGCGCTATATGCACGCAAAAAGCGAAAATAAGCTGCCAGACATTGATCATCCGGCGATAGAAGAGTCCGGCACTCCTGTATCGGCAATCGCGTTCCACCAATCATTGTTCTACATCAAAGAGCTAGACTCACCGATTGTAGAACATTACCAAAGGCATTTGATTTCCGAACTTTCAGCGTTGTAAGTGAGCTTCGAGTGCATATTGCGAGCGGTTCTGGTTGGGACGTTTGGCAAGGATCGGACTGTCAAGCGTCGAAATATGCATTTTCATGAAACATGTGCGCAATGCTTGAATCGACACATTCGAGCCCTAGCTCCGACTCATGCAGATCCACGCGATTTCCACTAATTCCGGTTAAAAAGTCCCCGAAATATGCTCTGCGGTCGTGATAGTCTCTAAACATCAACGTTGGTCAGCAAACCCGCGGAAGAGCATCTCCTTGCAGAATGCGCCTAATGCATGGAGTGACGCAGTCGTGTCACCGAAATCGGCTCCCTGAGAATTCCATCACATTATCTAGACATGTATGTAGATCATATATAACTCAAGACATCTATCAATCAAAAACATCGAGATGTCTCCTTCCGACGCGATCCATGTGAATTCTCACACACGAACGCAAACGGAGCGATCGAACCAATTTTTTTGTCGTCCCCATGGTGGGATATCGCCTTAGACTCCGGTGTGAGTCCCGACGCATTCAATGACCGGAAGCCGAAAGGAACTGCTGAGCTTTTTTTCAAGGGCGCACCTTGCTGATCCGAGCTGAGGAGGGGAAAGAATATTTTCGACTTGAGGGGCAACTGATGCGTGAGTCGAGCAGTCGAACTCCACCGCCTCGATTTTCGAGAATGGTATGGTCCCGTTCGCTCGGCATGAAATGGAGATTATTCGTCCTTTCTCCCGTGATAAGTGATGAGTTTCGCTCGGAGAGAGCGGTTGAGTCAAAGCCTATCGGCCATCCACGGACGAACGCTCACAGACGTAATGCCCGAGTAGAATGAGATGTCTTCCCCAAAGCTACTGGTTTAGCAGCCGTAGAACGGGTCCTGGGCTTTGTTGGACTGTATAAGGCTAGTCCGATTTCTGTAGTTTAATCGTTCGGTTGTTGTGATACGCTATTGCTCGGCGGCATTCCGGAAAGGACAAAAATCGTTCATAACTCGAAGGGAGAATGCGCCCCAATATGCGCGGAAATAACTGCCGTTTCGACTTTGCCGTAGCGGCTGGTTTCAGCTACATGATTGGTCGGCATGCTTGAAGGTACCGCGAGGACATAGGCAGAGGTGCCTTGCCCACGCTCCGCATCTCGCAGTATCGAACTTTGAGGTCTCGAAGGTTTCTATCCACGGAGAACTATTCCGCGGACGATTGCGAAAAGAGAGACAAGGGCATCAGACGAAGTCAGCGCAGGGTTTCCGGTCTCCGCTCCACTACCTGTGTTAGGAGCAGGCGGTTTCAATGGATCCGTCGGTCAGACTATCAAATGACTAAAAACCGAGAGGAATCATTAATTCTTCATACAGATACAGGTCATTCATACTAGTTCCCTTCTTCCAACTCCTCCGCAGGGTCAAGCCTCTTTCCCCCCGCCCTCGAAGTTTGTTAGACTTCTTCATCATAGGCTCTGCCACCCGATAACAGGGCACGGCCCGTGTGCCCATTTTTAGGATCCATGAAGATTATGAATTCGAGTTTGCGAGAACAGGGTCGAAACACGATACACAATTGGCTAAAAACGACTCGCTCCCATGTGCGCGACCAGCTCGGAGCGCATATTTCTGACTCATCGGGAATGTTCAAGATGGGTTTTTGAGAAAAGGATATGTTCATCGTTTTCGCGCTCAGAAGCGTCGTGAGTTTCCTGCTTCCGGGGATTCCCCAGTCGGTCCCCGGCTAGGAGGGGACTGAGGCTGCTCTGGAGTCGGACGATCGCGAAGGGCGCTCTCTTCAATTGACGAAGACCTCCTCAGAGTTGCCGAATCAGTTTCTGAAAATCTCGCCTTGGATTTCCGGGAGTGTCGGAATTCTCCAGATGAATATCTCTGAAATTGTCTTGGAAGTCTCCCTTCCGCGCAGATTGCATAATTGTAGTGGTAATCACTGCGCGTAAATTTATAGCTCCGTGAATTGACTATTTTACTTAGCTGGATAGAAGTATCCTTTGTTATACTAATCACAAAAGCATGGTGGTGTGGAGAAGAAATGCTTGTACGGGCACTTTGTCTCGTCCCTTAAATGATGACGATAGTTGACGCAATCAAGGAAAATCAGTTTCAGGAACGCTTCTCTTTCAATCAAAGTGTTTTCATCAGATGTCTTGGGGGAATCGTCAAGCTCAGTGCCAGACTGTTCAAATCGACTGACCGCCTGTCCCATCAGCCAAGTCGCACGCTTTCCTCATGGCGAGGAAGAGCTACTCTCCGAATTCCTGCCGATTTAGAGAGAAGGCTAAGACCCGCATCGGGATAGAGCAGGGGTCCGAAATCTGAAACGTGGTCCCATACATTGGCTTGCCTTATCTGCATTCGGACAAGCACGACCGCAATCGGCTTCTCCACCCTCGAAGTTCCAGGAACAGCATCCCAGCTGCCACCTTCCGGTCTTGAGCTGGCGGAGGGCGATTCCCATCTTCCTACGATCGGAAGAGTATCGAGGGAACACGGCTGCAAGTTTCAGAAGACCTTCAGGAGGGAATGCCCCAAAGCTGGAATCGAGTTCGAAACGAATTCTACGACCTGTTTCCCGGACCTGTTTCCAGGCCCCTCCGATGGGGAAGTAGCCGGAACTGGTCCGAGAAAATCAAGA